AATTCTTTATCATATTATTGTTTTGGGACAAATTCCGCAACTCTTTTATTAAAAGGTTACTCTGATTTTGAAATAAAGTATAAACAAAAACCGATCTTTTCTGGCCGTGATTTTGGGGATGTCACAATTTCACCCTTACCACTACCACATAATAATATAGCAATAATCACATAAATCATAACAGATAGTGGCATACCAGAAAATTATCACAAAGATAATCATCTCTACTAGAACAACTACTAGTGTGTCTGCATTGGTGCCATCGACCCACTCATACAGGAAGGTAACTCACCTCGAATACTAGAATGTAGCTGAAAACGGTCCTTGATTTTAGACTTGATTCATACGAATGTTCCTCTAATTCACTCAAACCTAGGCTCTGATACTAACTTGTAACATCCAAAATTTAAACCAATTTAAACTTTTCAAGCACAACCCTTATTCATTAATTCATTACAAAAAGGTTTTCAATTCATTTATTATCAGAGTATTTCCCAGAACCACATCATAAATACATAAAACATGAGGAGAGGTACGATCACACCTTCGCCTTGCCACGATCTCCTGAAGTACCTGAAACAATACACTGAACACTGTAAGCCCGAAAGCTTAGTGAGTTACCCCCAAAATACCAACTGCATTTCGGGTCTACTGTGTGACTGGTCCGCCGCACTGGGCCTTCAGTCCACCTGATCCACCCTCCGAGTCTAGCAACATACATCGAGTCTGCAGTGTGGTTGGTCCGCCCGCACCGGGCCTTCAACCCACCTAGTCCACTCTCTGAGTCTATAGTATGACTGCTCCGCCCGCACCGGGCCTTCAGTCGGCCTGGTCCACTCTCCGAGCCTCGGCACGTTTGGTCCGCCCTCGTGGGGCCTACAGCCTATCCGAACCACTCGTTGGGCCTTTGGGATATCCGGTCCGCCCTGGGTATGTTGACCTACAGCATAAAGCAAGACCCGCCTCAACCCAAACCCAGTCAATCAATCATGTGCACATAAACATATAATCATATAGCAATTTATCACAAAACAACCGATCTACCAGATCACATACATAGCCCACTCTAACCAGGATACTGACCTAACCGGTCACTAATATAGCATCATCCTATATACTAGGATTCCGACCTTAACCAGGTCCCTAACATATATCATCCTAACTACCAGGATGCAAACATATAGCAAAGCAATAACATAACAACTACCTGGATTCCCATCCGATAAAGGGCCGGCCTTGGTGCCTTAGACCCTGTTGATATAGTGAGGATAACTCACCTCGCAACTGTTGAATGAAGAGATAAGATCACGCTGCTCCAACCTCCGACACGAACTCCACCAGTGATCAATACCAAATGACTGAACTCAATAAATACCAATAATTACCAAAATACCCTTGGAAGTCAACTGGTCAACTCTTGGTCAAAGTCAAAGTCCTCAGTCAAAGTCCACCTTTCTGTGTAACCCTACTCGCCGAGTCGCCCCGTTGACTCGCCGAGTCCCACAATTCTGAGTCCCGTCTTACTCAACTCACTGATTCACCGTTCAACCAGAAAAAGGTTAGGACTCCACGAACAGACTCGACAAGTCTAAGAACAGACTCGCCGAGTCCAGGGCAATATTCAACAGACTCACTGAGTTGTTCTTCCGACTCGTCGAGTCCAAGCCATCCTTCATCCAACTCGTCGATTCCTTCAGTTCTCATTCCACACAAAGGCTTTCCAAGCCATGCAGGGGCTCAAATCCCTAGATCTACCCTTCTACAAGCTATCCCTCATGTAAAGTGGCAAACTTTACGTGAACTCAAGGAGCTATGAGCCCAAAATGCTCTAGGGCTAGGCTTTTAGGACAAAGGGCTTCACTAACAACTCAAAGACAGGGACTTTATGATCTTCTGGACCATGTCAAGTCCAGATCTAAAGTAGCAACCTCATATTCAACTTCCAAACCCGAAATAACTCTAGAAATGCCACAAAACTCAAGCAACAAAGGATCTAGATGCAAAGGAGCTTAAGTAATAGATTAATACCTCAAATGAAAGCTCCCACTATAGTAGACCTTGGATCTATACTACTCCCTTGTTGTAATCCCTTGGTCTTCAAGTTCCCTTTTAAAGATTTCCTTTCCAAAGCTCCAATTTCTTTATCAATGGAGTTCCACTCGATTTCTAGGGTTTGTAGGCTCTGAAGGGTGGTAAGGAGGCTGAAGAAGGGATGTTATGTTCTTTATATAGGCCACAACCCCCGGATTAGGGTCTTTCTCATCCCAGCAGCAACTCGTCGAGTCCACCCATGCGACTCGCCGAGTTGGTCACTTTATACGTGACCCGGATCGCAACTCGACTCGCTGAGTCTATCCATGGACTCGCCGAGTCGATCCTCCTTAATTACACCAAGCACCCTGAACTTTCACTTCTGAACTCGGGGTGTTACACCAATCCTTCAATATAACCAACACAAACACAAAAGAAACTACAAACACATAAAACAAGGTTTTACATCTTCCACCTTCATTTCCATTCTGATGATGAGTGCCTACTCCCTCCACCGGTAGTTGTGTGTCACTATTTGTTCCACAAAGTCTCCAAATAGTTCAAGGTTCCCTGTAGGTTGTTCTTACCCAACCTCCCCATATATTGCATGGTTCTCCAAATTGACATTGTTGTGAAATTCTAATAAGAGGTTTGCATACCACTAGTTTGGTAGAGGATGATCCACCCAATGAAAGTACTTGCAATCTTTGAGTTCATCATGGTAATTTGGACAGCCTATAAACCTTCTCCATGGGTTTAATGGAGTCCATGAAGTACATTATAATAATAATAATAATAATAATAATTTAATATTAAAGGGTCCCACCTCTCTCTCTCTCTCTCTCTCTATATATATATATATATATATATATATATATATATATATATATATATATATATATATATATATCTATCTATCTCTCTCTCTCTCTCTTAAACTAAACCCATGACCACCCATGACATACCACCTCCCCTCCATTGATTCGATCAAACATCGCCACCCCACCTACTTTTTCTCTCCTTCTCATGAACCTACTGTCAAGAAATGACACCACCATGAAGGGTGGTCAAAAGACATCGCTACCTCCATTAAAGAACCAACACCGGTGCCTTTAACTACTGTGAATCACCACAATCTGCCACTGTTATTGACCAGTAACCCCCTCTGTCCCTCTCCTGTTCAGATAATCAACCACCACCACCATTAGAAGTTGTAATGTATTCAGAGTATCCGGGCCCCACGTCCTTCATTTCGGATCTATCAATTGTGTTGAAAGTGACTACAGGAGCTCGACCTCGTCTCACTTCGTTTCCATTAGCATCAACTTGTAGGTTGTGAGAAGAACCAGGAGACCCTGAAGGGGAAGCTGAAAATGAATCACCATTATGCAAAATAGAAACTAAAGATTCAGAACTCATTGATAATCTTGGACTTTGATTTGGGGAATATGTCACATGTACAATATAAGAAACCGACAAATGTATCAGTTCAATTATAGGGGGGGGGGGGGGCTCATGAGTGATGGATCTTCTTGAATCTGAAAATGATTCGACTACAGATGCAGTGAGGATAGAACGGGAATTTGCTTCTCACTTACAATGCTCTAAAGAAAGAGGATGGAGAATCGGGAATTTGCTTCTCCTACATTTGCATTCATCTAAAATATTCATGACCTTCATTTGCCTCCTTCAGCTTCTAGTTTTTCACAAACTTTGGTTTACGAGGGCTCGATTGATTGTTTGTTGTTCTTTCTCGATCTATCTTCTTTTAGACGATTTCCATTCACAATCGTCATCTTCCGATATGTATTTGAGAAACCCCAAGTTTTTGCAATCAAGATCCAGAAATGATAAGCTACAGATCAGAGATGGTAACTTGTGAAGCATATCGAATTTTGAGGAAGAAGCTAGAGAATATAGGTTGCTGTTTTTTTTTTTTAGAGAGAGAGAGAGAGAGAGAGAGAGAGAGAGAGAGAGATATGTGGCCTTTAATATTAAATAATTATTTTTTTCTTTTTCTTTTAAATTAAGACAAATCTTCATAAATGGTCTCTATGGTAGTGAAATGATAGAAATATTCTTTACTTAACGGCCAAAAGCTAATGGTGTTAACAAAAATAACCATTTGTTAAAAGTTTTGAAACCACGGGGACCATCTATGAGGTTTTTAAAGATTAGGAACTAAACTTCAAATTTTCGAAAACCACAGGGACCATTTTTGAAGTTTTATCTTTTTCTTATTAAGTATTACCCGATTTTTTTGTGTCATGATACCCCTTTACTTGTTGGGAATATCTTTTTACTTTGATCCTGGATCCACCACTACGTATTTGTCTTGCAATTATTGAAAGTCTTTCAAGTGGTAAGTGGATCCTCTATGTTTTCAACTTGTAACATAATAATATATTACTTTACAATTTATATTTATTTAATAAATAATACATCATAATAATTAAGTTTATATGGTAGGTGGGACCATTTTTTATATTGAATAGTCTTGCAAATATTAAAAGCCTTTTACCCATATGAATACTCTAATACTAAATATAATCCTGAATAAAAAACAATATATCTAAAATATTTTTTTAATGTTAAATATAATAGAGTAAATTACTAAAATCGTCCTGTTGTTTGATCAAAATTGTACGTTTGGTCCCTAACTTTTTTTTTACACTCGGATCGTCCTTGTGGTTTGATTTTGTTGCGTTTTACGTCCCTGTGGTTTGATTTTGTTGCGTTTTACGTCCCTGTGGTTTGATTTTTCGTCCCTTACATACATAAAGTTAGGGACCAAACATGAATTTTTTATCAAACCATAGAGACGAAAAACGCAAAAAAATAAACCACAGAGACGATCCGAATGCGAAGAAAAAGTTAAGGATCAAACGTGCAATTTTGATCAAACCAAGGGACAATTTTAATAATTTACTCAATATAATATAATGGATTGGAAGACTTTTTTGTGTGTTTACACTCTTTTTTACACTATAACTACTAATACACCTATTTTTTACACTATAACTACTAATACACCTATTTTTTACCCTGTAATTACCGGTATAATGTAAAAAAATAGTATTAAGGGGTGAGATTCGAAACACACAAGGGCATAAATGTAATTAGACATGATAAGTAGTGAACCAAATGAAAACAGCAACACTTGCTTTATCAAGAATCCGGGGTGGACGTTACCTTGTGGATAATGTTTCCGATCGGAAATCAAATGAATTGAAGCTCAAATCCACCGTCCACCACCTTTCAAACAAATGGTTTTCTTAATCTTCTATACACACATACACCCTACGCCGCCGCCTCTTCGCAATCAGCAACTATGGCCGGCTCCGGCCATCACCCAACCCTTCTTCCCATTAAACCCCACTCCCACTTTCCCTCGCCGGATTCACACAAAGGCACGCCGCTGGGACTCGAACGCAGAGACATTCCGAACACAAAGCTTCGATTTTAACTCCGGAGACGACGATGACGATGACGATGACGATGACGATTTTGAAGACGATGATGCAAATCAGTGGCTCGACATCCTTGAAGACTTCATTGACGGTGTGTGGATTTTTAAGGTGATTTTATTTTTATTTACTTTTGAGTCCTGAAAAATGGGAAGTAATAGCATCCGCCATCGGACTTCATTGACATTTGACAGTGTTATTTATAACCAGTGCAGGTATTCCGATCATTTGGGTGGTTTCTTCCGGCGATAATCTCGTCTCTACTGTTGACGTCAGGTCCGAAAGCGTTCCTTATGGCGATGGCTATTCCCCTCGGCCAATCGGCGCTTTCTATGTTATTTCAAACGGTTTGGGGAAGACCGAAGAATAAAACCAGACGTCGAGGCAAGAGCAAGAGCGAGGGTAAGAGGAAACCGCCGCCGCCGCCGCGACGTGGTGGTGCAAGCTATGTGTACATGGATGAAGAAGAGTACCCCAGAGGGGAAAGAAAAAGGGCTCCCGGGTATCAAACATGGGTGGCCGGAGACGGTGGTGCAAGTGATAACAAAAGTGGTGGTTCATCGGCGAGTTTTGGTGGGTGGGAAGAACTGGATAGAAAAAGTGGGTCGTTTAAAGATGGAAAGCGGAAGCCATTGAAGAGTAAATTGAGCAGGAGAGAAAGACGAAGCACGACACCATTGTTTTTTAGATTGTTGATTGCAGTATTCCCATTTTTAGGTTCATGGACTAGAATGCTATAATAAGATTACAATGATCTTTTATACAAATAATGAGCAATATATTTTATTTGTTTATAAACAGTAGAAATGTATTTATATTTTTGCAGCAAAATGCAATAACGTTGCTATTTTTTTGGTAAAAAAATTACATTGCCATTGTAGGAACATAGTTACATCATTTCGCTGTTGATGAAATATGTAATAAATACTTTTAAGTTTCAACGAAAAAAAAAAAAAAAAAAAAAAAGTTGCTAGCCTATTATTGATGTAAAAGTGCATCGCTATGTAGATAAGTTATTATGGATTAAAAAAATAAAGTACATTAAAGTAGAATACATTGCTATTTTCCTCATAATTTATATTTTTCTTGTATTTCTCTTTCTTCAGTATTTAGAAAACAAATGCATATAAAATATAAATTATCACAGCCTCTCAAAAATTCAGTCTTAACAAAATTTGATGATTGCTTTGCTAATTAAGGTTCTAATCACCTCCGGATTTAAGCTTTTTCCTTTGTTTTCTCTTTTGGTCATGCAACCCTGAATAAAAAAAATTCAATATCATTAACCAAATAAAAAACGATTTATTTATTTATTTTTATTTTTTTAGAAGATGGATTTTACGTTTTTTATCTTCTTTCCTCTTTCTTCTTAGGTTGTCTAAGCTTCTTCGCTTTTCCCCAGCCCCTTTAAGATCCATGGAAACCTAAAAACATAAATCAAGAATTAGAAGGGTATTATTGTCAAGTGTGACGAATGGGGCCTAAAGGAAAAGGGCAAAATGGGAATAAAAATTACCTCATGGCCACTGCTTCTGAGTGCTTGGAGTGGTTCGACACAATCATGACCAATAACAACCATTTTCCTCTTGTTGTTATTATTATTTCTCGGGTTTTCTTTTTCAGCAAGTTTCTGTTTTGCTAATTCTTCAAATTGTTGTTGAAGAAGAGGTGAAATACCAGCCTGCAAAAGAGAAAACACTCAAAGGAGGTTAATTTTTTTTTTTTTATCTTCTTGAAAAAAAGTGATGAAAGAAAAAGTTTATTTTTATAGTGTGGTTTCATTGCGATTTAGTCTACTATAGTGTCATACTTTCATTTCTTCCATTTTTGTTTGAAAATCAACCCTATTATAACAATGTCATCCAAATAATAGATTTTTCAGAGTGTAATGTTCTAATAAGAAAAAATTCAAAGTATAATTGAGTTCGTTCTTCAAAGTACAATGTTTTTTAATAGAAAAAAAATTGTAGAGTAAATTACACGAATGGTCCCTATGGTTTGGGGTAATTTGCACGCTTGGTCCCTAACTTATTCTTTTAACTCAGAAGGTCCCTACTATTTGTTATTGCTACACACTTGGTCCTTATTGTTTGTTTTTGTTACGCATATGGTCCCTATCTTACGTAAAAAGACAATTATTTAAATATAGAAAAATGGTAGGGTAGGTAAGGTAAGGAGAGAGGATGGGCTTGAGGGTGTGTTTATTTAAATAAATTAAAAAATCAAGAGAAAAATAGACTTTTTATGTAAGACAGGGACCAAGCGTGTAACAAAAACAAACAGTAGGGACCTTCCAAGTTAGAAAAAGAAGTTAGGGACCAAATGCGCAAGTTGCCCTAAACCATAGGGACCATTCGTGTAATTTACCCAAAATTGTATGTACAAAAAACAAATAGAAGAAAGTATTTTACTATTTCTTGCAGTTAGCCATTTATGTTTTTCCTTGTCTTGTTATTTTCCCAAAAATAAAAAAACTAATAATAACAGAATATTTTAGGGTTAATCTCAAAAAAAAAAAAACCTAAATTGTGTTTTTTCCGGATTAAACCTCAAACTTATTATTTGCCTGAAAAAGGCTTTGTATTTTTTCATTTTTTACGAAAAAACCCTCAACTTCGTACTTTTGAAAAAAACCCTCTACCTTCAAAATGCTTCCAAATAAACCTTCAACCTTTTTAGTTTTTCTCGAAAAAAAACCCTCAAAATTTACAACTTTTTTGGAAAAAAAAAACGACTAAAAGGGCCAAATCAGAAAAAATACAAGGCAAATATAAATTAAGGTTAATCCCGAAAAAACATAAAATATAAGGTTTTTTTTTGAGATTAACCCAATATTTTATCTAAAAAGTAGTTTATTCAGGCATGCAGCAGTTAATTGGAGAAAAGAAACACATAACAAATTTACAATGATCCTCAAAAAGGGAATATATATATATATATATATATATATATATATATATATATATATATATATATATATATATATATATATATATATAAAATGATGAATTACCCCTGCCAAATATCGACTTGAGAATGATTTGGGTTGCAATGGACGAGAAAGCAGTGACTTGAGCTCCTGCATGAAAACAGTCAAAATCAGCATGAAGAAAATAATTTATGGTTAAACGAGAATGAGAAAGAGGAGAAAACCAAAAACCTGTTGAAGGTTTTTTAATTTTGCAGAATTTGCTTTTGTTTTCCTGATAGTGTTTGCTCTTTCATCCTCACTATCATTTTCTTCTACAATCAGTTCAATTGACTCAGCATTTCGTTGGAACCAAGTCTTATCAGCCTTATCCTACAACAAGTAGTAAAGTAATTTATATATTTTATGGGTAAGTAAGTTGATATTATGCAAGTAAAGTCAAAAAAAATGAAAATTTAAATTCATTTTCACCTGTGATTCCTTTCGCAAAACCCTGTCTATTTGTCGTGCAAGAGATAGGCGCTTTATCACCTCAGGCATGTATGAAGAGTCTATAGGAAATTGCTGGAAACTTTCCTGAAAATGTAAACCAAACCAGAATAAGTTTAAGAAAAAAAAACACAACTATTAGTACATTTATAGTGTAAAAAACTAACCTTTGAAAAAGATTTGCACAAAGAAGAAAACTTTGATGATTCTTTTGGTGAAATTAGCGCAATGCTGCATCCATCTGCAGAAGCTCTAGCTGTTCTACCACTTCTATGAACATAAACCTGCCAATTACACATACATACTCACCATATATATATATATATATATATATATATATATATATATATATATATATATATATATATATATATATATATATATATATAGAAGATTGAATAAATAATATATCAGATTAAAAGAAACAAGAAGTTACTTCAGCAGAATGAGGAAGTTGATAATGAACAACAGTTCTAACACCAGGAATATCAAGACCTCTAGCAGCAACATCAGTAGCCACAAGTATTCCATGATCATTTGCACGAAAACGATCAATCGCCTGCATTTCAATTTCAATTTCAACCAACAATTATGATTTATATAATTTTTTTTTTTACATATCAAAATAATTATGTTTAGAGTAAATTACTGAAATCGTCCCTATGATTTGGTTAAAATTACACGTTTAGTCCCTAACTTTTCTTTTGCACTCGGACCCTCCCTGTGGTTTGATTTTGTTACATTTTTCGTCCCTGTGGTTTGATTTTGTTACATTTTTCGTCCCTGTGCAAAATAGACTCTTCAACAAAATCAAACCACAGGGACGAAAAATGTAACAAAATCAAACCACAGGGACGATCCGAGTGCAAAATAAAAGTTAGGGACCAAATATGCAATTTTAACCAAACCACAGGGACGATTTCAGTAATTTACTCTTATGTTTAACAAATAATAACCTTGAGTCTAGCACGCTGCTGCATCTGTGCATGAAGGGTCAAAACATTGACATTAAGAATACGCATAAGGGAAGAGATATGACGAAGGGCTGCAATTGATGTACAAAAGACGATAGTACGCCCTTGTCCATGAACAGATAAAATATAATACAAACATCCGTCTTTATCTTCTTCTGGACACCTGTAAATTGATGTTTAATCAAATTCAATATTAAAAAGAGTAAATTACACGAATAGTCCCTATGGTTTAGGGTAATTTACGCATTTGGTCCCTAACTTATTTTTATAACTCGGAAGGTTCATACTGTTTGTTTTTGTTACGCGCTTGGTCCTTGTCTTACCTAAAAAGACTATTTTGCCCTTGATTTTTTTAATTTATTTAAATGAACACACCCCCAAACTCACCCCCTCAGCTTACCTTACCTACCCCACCATTTTTTCTATTTAAATAATAGTTTTTTAGGTAAAACAGGGACCAAGGGAGTAAGAAAAACAAACAGTAGGGACCGGGTGCATAATAAAAACAAACAGTAGGGACTTTCCGAGTTAAAAAAATAAGTTAGGGACCAAGCGTGCAAATTATCCCAAACCATAGGGACCATTCGTGTAATTTACTCTATTAAAAAAAAGCAAACAGATGAATAAAAGGGAAAGGGGTATTATCATACTCAATGAAGGACTCCTCAAGATTATTTGCCATAATTGAAGCATTTGTGAGATCAATAACAGCAGCATTAGAACGCATCCCTGCACGTTCAGATAAGGCTTCAATTGAGTTCAATTCACCATCTGATTTTGTTTTCACAGATCCACGTTTAAGTTTTTTCCTAAAATCAGAAGATAAGGCAATGGTTGCTGAAAACACAAAAGTCTGTCTTTTCTTTTTTTGAAAGCCTGAAGCTGTGACACAATTTTCAGAATCTTCTTGATGTCCTTCACGAATCATGGGAAGCATGTCAATAATTGACTGCAGCTCATGAAAATGACCATTATCTATCATTCTATCTGCCTCATCCAGCACAAAGAATGACAGTGAATGTAGCTGCAAAAATCATCAACACTTAATATTATTATACATGATTATAGCATTTTACTTGCTTTCAGTTTTTATTTGTGCTTTGAAGAATCTAGCCGATTATAGCATTGTAGTTATAAATTTGTTTCTTGATAAGATGTTGTGCTTTGGAAAATGGGTTAATCTCAAAAAAGATCTTATAGATTTTGTGTTTTTTCCGGATTAAACCTTGAATTTATTATTAAGACGTATTTTTTCATTTTTCTGAAAAAGTCCTTGAACTTTGTATTTTTTTGTCTAAAAAAAACCCTTGCATTTTACATTTTTCTGAATGTATTATTAAGACGTTGTATTTTTTTCATTTTTCTAAAAAAGTCCTCGAACCCTTGCATTTTTGTCTGAAAAAGTCCTCGAACCTTCTAAATGCTTCCAAATAAACCCTCTAACTTTGTTAGTTTCTCGCGAAAAAACCCTTGCATTTTACAATTTTTTTTTGGAAAAAAAGGGTTTTATGCAGAAAAGTCTCATTATTTTGGGAAAATTTTCGGTGAAG